AATTATCGACCTATCATAGGCAAATTTTCATTTTAGTTGTTAATAATCAATATTGAACAGAAACTGCTATCCCATACTATTCTGACTAAAAACACAAGTATTTTTATATTAGTGAAATTACTAAATAATAAGGTGTTACACCTATAAAAAAAGAAATATCTGAGACTTCTAAGTGGCTTATGTCCATTACTTTGAGAAATATAGTTGAATTATAATATTTTCAAAAATAGCAGCAATGTCAACAAGATAGGAGGTACGGTGCTCATGCGCTCGTGTGTGTGTGTGTGTGTGTGTGTGTGTGTGTGTGTGTGTTTGCATGGAAACCAAAGCTGGAAGAAAGAAGTATAGAGCTGGGCTCAACCTCATAAGGGCCCCAAGGTGCTTTCATGCTGTTGTCCCACTATTTCCATAACAAAACTCCTGCCTTGAGTTTCAAGGTAGGTACTCAAGCTCCAGCCATCAGGTCTCTGTAGCCAGCAGGAAAGGATTACAGGGGGAAGAGAGAGACCACTCCCTAAATGACACTTTCTAGAAGTCACTCAGATACTCATGCCTTCATCCCAATGACCAGAACTTAGTCCCAATGCAACAACTAAGCACAAGATGGAGATTAGAGCAAAACATGGTAATGCATGCCTGCAATTCCAGCACTCTGGGAGGCTGAAGATGGCAAGGCAAGCTCAGCCCAGGCAACATAGCAACTTAATAAGACACAGTCTTAAAATTAAAAAAAAAAAAATGAAATGGGCTAGAGATGTAGTTGTGTGAAGATCCTGAGTTCAATCTCCACTATTTAAAAAATGGGCAGTTTCATGGATTCCATTTCTTTCCTATGTTGAACATTCATTATTTCCATCATTTTCCTAAGCTCTTCTAGTTTTTAAAATCTGTCTATTTTAGATTCTCTGAGTGGGTCCTTCATTTTGATCATCTCCTTTTTTACCTGAGAGATTATTTCTGATCTGATTTTCTCTATAGCCTCATTAATCTGTTTTTGTTTTTTTTAACTTCTGATGCTACCTTTTCAGAAAATTCTAGTGGGTGACTTCTGATTTCCCCTGTATTCTTGTCCCCTGAACTTCTCCTGGGTGGGCTGGAGATCTAGGGTTGTATGTTGCTTCTATGTCTTGTCATTTTCTATTTTTTAATTTTAATTTGTTTTCTGTGTTGATGCTTGTAATGGTAGCTAGCTTTATCACTAGTATCAAGGCTTCCTTAGGAAATGACTATTCCTCAGAGATGTTTTCTAGGCATAGCTGGTTGTTGGCCTTTGTGTCTATCTCAAGCTCCTACCTTCCCACTTCTTAGGATGAGAAGTTGCTATCTACTTGGCTCAGCACCCAGTCCTTTGGTACTGGACTCTGGTAATGATTATGACTCCAGACAACCAATACAAGAGAGAGAAACTGTTGCTACAGGTTGACACTCTTGCTTATATAGTACAATGAGCAATAACAATAGCGTCAAGCACAGCTTAGAAACTAACAAATTGCGGTAACTATTAATTTGGTACCTTTAACCACAGGAACAAGATCCACAGTTATATAACAAAATCTAACATAAAACAAGAATTTGTGTTGTGAGTCTCCCCTTAGTAGAGTGATTATAGCCTGTGAGGGGAAAATTTAAGAAGGATAGGGAAAAAAACAGAGATATTTAAAGAGAAATATAGTTGAAACAAGGCTGAAGGACAAAAGATGATCACACAAGCTTTGGGAAACTGAAGAAGACAAGAGATAAAGAATGAAGGAGAATACTGAACAACATGGAAAGCAAAAGAATATTGAAACAAGCCAGAAAGACTAAAAATAATCTTCCCAAACACGAAAATATCAAAAACTCAAGAAAGACAGTTGAAGAAAGAGAGAAAAAAATATAATTTATCAAGAAATCAACCAATAACAAATGCTGGTGGGGCTGTGGGGAAAAAGGAACCCTCTCCACTGTTGGTAAAAGTGTAGACTGGTGTAAGCACTGGAAATCAGTGTGGAGGTCTCTCAAAAACTAGGCATAGAGGTTCCACTTGACTCAGCTATTCTCCTTCTTGGTATCTTCCCAAAAGAATGAAAATAATGTCACAGCAATATATGCACACCCATGTTTATAGCAGCACAATTTATAATAGCTAAATCTTGGAAACAGCCCAAAGGCCTATCAACAGATGAATGGGTATAAAAAGTGTGTTTTGTTTTTTTTTAATTCAATGGAGCACTACTCCACCATAAAAAAGGATAAACTTGAGACATTCCTAGGTAAACGGATGCTAAATGAAATAAACTAGACACACATGTGTAAATATTTCATTGTTTCTCCAGTGTGAGAAACTGAAAGTGTAAATAAGGACCAAAATGTACAATACATATTGCAAAAGAGGAAGAAAATGTGCTAATGGGAACAGGGAAGGAAGGCTTGGAAGGGAAAAGAAAAAAAATTAAAAAGAAGGAAAAATAAAAACAAAGCTTTTGTAAATAAAGAAGGGAAGACGATTGAAGAGAGGGTAAAAAATGGGAAAAAAAGAATCAAATATATCATGTATAGTTACAAATTCCCTATGAATGTGATTATTATGTATATTGAAAATGTACTTGGCCAGGGATTTAGCTCAGTGGTTCTACCGCCTGCCTTGCAAAGCACAAGGACCTGAGTTCGATCCAGGGACCAAAAAAGAAAAGAAAGAAAAAGAAAAAATGTTCCAATAAGCTTAATTTTAAAAAAAGAAGAAAATATGTTGCAGAAAATTTAAAAAGAGAGCCAGACAGAGAAATTGGGAAGTTTCATCTTTATTCTTTATCCAGGTTAAAAGGAGAGGAAGAAAACCTTAGGGCTTATTATTAGGCAGAAGAGGAAACAAAGTGGTAGAAGAAAAAGTCTAACTAGAATTTAAGACTGTAAAAAACAGCAATAGTCCTTTTCTTCTGAATAAGACACTATCCCAGGCCTTTGCAGATATTCTTCTCTTAAAAGTAAGGCCCTTGGAAACAATATAAAATCTAAATCTTAATTAAAATTGCATAATCCAAAGTTAAATATAAACATTTTGCATATAGAAATACATATTATTGTTTTGTTCTTTCAGAAGGGTCATTCATTGATCCTGTAACATCACTGCCAGAAAAGGAAATGAAAAAAATACAGAACTGAAACACAATATTCAGGTGAGATCACTCTGGAAAAGCACAAATATCTCCCATTAGGACAAACTTTAATTCATGGAGCTTCAACACTAGGTTGATAAACAAGAGACCTTACACCTGACTAGGCTTTAAGGACAGAGAAAATCTAAAAGAGTAAAACCTTGAGAATAAGTATTAAGGCTTGAGAATATGAATTAGGGCTAGAAGGTACAAAGGAAATCTAAAAGAGGTTAATGACACTCACTTTTTGACATAATTGCCTGTTCTTAGGAGTTCAGATTTTTTTTTAAAAAATCAATTCATGTGTACATTCCCCTGTTCTTTCTCCCTTTCTTTTTTCTGTGCCCTTCACTGAGGAGCACTCCTAACCCCAATGAATGCCCGCCAAAGTACAGGACACAGGGCATCCACATTTAGAGGGGAGCAACAAGCAATCTACTGGTAAATATAAATGTAAATTTGAGGAAGTCATAAAGATTCTTAGCTATGATGATCTCTAAACTATCTAAAACTGGGGCCTTCAAGTCCTCAGTGGAGTATATTATCTAATATATAAGGCAAACGTGAAAACAGATTCTTAGTATAATTTGTAAGCTAGTGAAAACGGTCACTACTCTGTGGGTGATAATTTACTGATAAGGCAGAGTAAAGATCTCAGTCTCAAAGAAACTTGTGCTGAGAGTCTCCCCAAGCTAATTAAGATTCTTGGATGCAAATGAGAAAAAATAATTCTGGATAACTTAACAAGAAAAGGAACTTACTAGAAAAATGTCTATTATTCACTTTCCCTGTCTCTGGGATGAAATACCCAGCAATGGTAAATTAGAGGAGGAGAGGTTGACCTTGGCTCATGGTGTCAGAGGCTTGTTCTTGGTCTGCCAGTCACTGAGGCAGTCATGACAGAAGAGCCTGGCAGAGGAAAGGCTTCACTCCATGGTCGACAGCAGCAGAGAGCAAGGAGGAGGAGTTGTGAACAAGAAAACACCCTTCTACATCTCTAGTAATCTCCTTCTGACCAGCCCTCACTTCATAACACACCCAGGTACAAATTCATCAATGGACAAATCCCATACAGCACCCTCATGATCCAATCACTTCCAAAAGCCCAACCTCTGCATACAGGAGACATCTGAGGGCAGGTGGCTTAGCTAGAGTTAGTGCTGCTGGGGCGATCCTTCCCTGCAAGGGTCAGACGTCCGGAAATCACTAATACGATTTGTGTATAAGCATTCACGTGGCTAGAGATGCTGCTGCATTCAGACACATAGGAAATCTTAGCTTACCATCAAACATAATTCAAAAGAACCATAAATTATCACAGAATTTTCCTTTTGGCCAACAGTACCCCAAAAATATGCCAGGCAGGGTTGACCTCCCACCCCCAGCCACACCACTGTTTGAGGAACATTTTAGAAATGAATCCTAACAAGTAGGTAGGCCACAGGCAGAAGAAGGCAGAAGGCTTTGGAAAGGAAAACAGCCACGAATCGAAGCTGGACTGTGAGAAATATGCCCTTCCCAATAGTCAAAGACAGTTGGGTGGTGCTTCCAGCGACGTCACCATGAGCCCCACCAGAGACTGGGCGCCGTTACTGGGGGAGGAATAAATTCTAAAGGGTCCGCTTGCACTGTTTCAACCATTCCACTTTTCCCCTCAGAAAGAACCGTCCATCAGATGGACCGAACTTAGGACAGACGTTTAGGTTCTGTCACAGGCTGAGAACAAGTGCGGGGCCGCTGAAGCTTCCATGATGGAAAACTGCGGCACACACCCCGAGACTCACATCAAGTCAATTCCTGCAAACGGAGGCGTCCATAGGTTGCGCGACCAAACGTGAAGCCTTTCACACAGATTTCACAACTTACCAGATACATGACCGTGGGCAAGTGACTTTGTTCTCTGCATCTCAGTTTCACTGGCTCTAAAAACGGGACTATGAATATCGGTCTAGAACAGCTGTCTGAGACTAAAACGACCCTACGTTCAGTGGGGCCGGCGGAGTTCCGCTGACCCGGATGTGAGGCAGAAAGGAATCCCGGGAGTTCCAAAATGGCGTCCGGGAAGCGAGCGCCTCAGAATCTGGCGGGGAAAGTCACTCAGACGCATTTCTCTGAGTCCAGGTGTTGGAAAGAAGAGTGCTTTGGTTTTATGGCCGAACTTGTAGTTGCTAAAGCCACGGAGTTAAGGTTTGTGGGTCATATCTCTGGTGGACACATAAAACCGGCTCCCTTTCTGTGTTTGACTTTGAAGGTGCTCGAATTCGGCCTGAGGAGGACATCATTGTAGAGTTTATAAAACGTGAAGATTTCGAATGTGCCCGCGGGTTGTGGACACTTTACATGGGGTCAGCAGTCACTGCAATTGATTGCTGCAAATTCTTGGGACCTTTGGCTTTAACTGAGGACAAATCAAGAGCCAGAACTAGTAGAGTTAGAAAACCTGTCCAGGGAAGTTGGAAGGAGCCACTCCCCTTCATTCAACTATGGACGCAGCACCACCACCGAGATGATTATCTTGGATGTTTAAGCTTAGGAGGTCAAGGTGCCTGAAGTGGCCGATCATGGACCCCATTGGTAGGCACCTGGAATCAGAGGTTCTGATCATAATGGGAGGAACCTGGAGTTAAAGGTGTCTAACCCTTCCTTTCAGTACTGAAATTCTGAGTTAAGGACTATTCCTCTTCCTCGGCTCCTCCTCCTCCCGTGGCCCCGTGCATTCCAGAGCCCACCACCCTACAGCGCACCTGCTCACACACCATCAACACCACCACCAGCAGCTTTGCTCACAACCGCGAGTTCATCTGCTCCTCCTTTTGTCCTCCCCATTCCTGCAGCTACCTACCATCCAGTGATGTTCCATAAAGCAGCTGCTTACTACAAAGTGTATACTTGGTTATGCTTTCCTTGTCCTGCACAAGAACCTGGGCTATTTTTGGCCCATTCAAATGTAACAGAACAAAAGGAGTTTGATGCATGTATATGAGTTTATCGATGAACTGCATAGTGAGGGTCTGTGATATCCTTCCGCTGGATTACAGAAATGCTGTGTGCTGGAATAAGCTGGGTGGGCATTTGGAGCCTTGATCAGTGCTCTAGATGATATGGAGTCTAGTCCAGGAGGAGAAGGATGAGAAATTTCGGGGAGTGCCATCACCCGACCACCGCCAGAGAAGCTACCCCACCCTGTGCTACAGGAAGAGGGGGTTGGTCTTCAGAAGGCAGAGTTGATTTCCCAAAAGAATAAGCCCTTCACCCCACGAGAAAAACATCACAGCAAAAGAAGACGTTCCCAAGATGCCACTGAAGCTGGTCCTGAGATGGAGGTAGCTATAAGAATATTTTAATTTTTTCTTACTGAACTTTTTTTAAACGAAAGGTGGTAAAATTTGTAATTTGTTTTCAACTGTAAACATCTTTGAGGGATGATATTTCCTAAGGTCAGTTTTTGATCCCACCAACTATAACTGTATTCACATTTAGGAGAGAAAATCTGGGAATTGGGGTTGTGAGTGAGAAGGAGATGTGGCCTCAGTTCTCTTTTTATTATTATACCTGAGACACCTCCCTCAAAATAAGTAAATGTAAATCAAGAAGCCTAGAGTAAGCATTGCATATTGTGACCTAAAGTGCTGATTTGAATATATCAACAGGAATGATAATAACCAGCATCATTGTTATCCTTATAATAATCTGGAGAATTTGGATTAAATTTCAAACTCCATTTAATCCCCATTTCCCTGAAGAATTTAAAATATGTTGATATGAAATAGGTTGAAGCGGCCCTTACATTTCTTTCCATCTATCAATTTTCTTCTTCTTCTCCCTTTCTCATCTATCTCCTCTTGGGATTGTAGGTTGATGCTGCGATCTGGAGTTTTATTTTGAGAGTTTTGATAGCTCAGATATTCCTGATTTGGTCCTTCATTTGGCGTACTCTTTCACTGCATTTCCTGCACTTGACTGACCTAGGTGAGTGATCGTAGTTAGGTTTCATTTTCTGGCAAGACTCCTCAGTAAGCAGTGTGTTGTACTTTTATCAGGAGATACGTACTGTCTAGTTTTTCTTTTTTTAGATGTGAGCATTCATGATCACTGCCTAGACCCATTCATTAGGAGTTGCAAAAGAGTGACAATCCAGTTATATCTTTCTTCTTCATATATTACTTTATATGCTCTATAAGGAGACTCCTCCCCTTATATGACCTGAAATGCAATCTTGAGTGAAGACAGGATACATGCTTGGTTTTTACCAGTGTGCAAAATATGTAAGTTTTCTAGCATTCTCTAAAGGAGACCATTGAGATTGGTGGGTATTTTTTCTTGGTGTTATTACAAATTTATGTATGTGGATGAATTTGGCGGGTTTTGAGTCATTTCCATCATTTCCCTTACTAATGTTCAAACTGCTCCTTTTTGGGCCAGTGGCAGCCTATTTTTGGTGTGACTCTAGAAGTCTCTGGTAACTTTGTTGATAATGTCTTTCCTTTGTGATATGACAAAAGTGATCTTGCTTCACCACTTTCAGTTACAAAATTCCATCAGCATTTCCTTTGAGACAACTTTTGCATCCATCTCTTTTTCTTTTTTCTTTGACAGGAGCCAAGTTCGGTTCATAATGTCCCCATCATAAAATGGGATAGTTAACATTTCCTCTTTCACTTGCCCCTGTTCATTTACTCTTTTTTTACTCACCTTCACCAGAGAATTATTCGAAGAAGCCTCATGCTTTTGCTTATTGAAAAATCATTACTAACTCATCTTTCCTTATATACTAAATAAACACAAGGTCAGTGATGTGATTTTTGAGATTTACCATGATCTGGCCCCAGATGGCCCCTATTAAACATAGAATTTATTGAAGCATATGGTATACTCTAACCAAATGATGTCACTTTAATTCTTTACAAACATCCTGTATTTCTCTATCTCTGTGACTTTAATGAAGCTGCTCCTTAATTTCTACTTTAGGAAATTCCAGTAACAGTCCAGGGCAGTGGTGGCAAACCTAGGACACGCTTGTTATTATGTTTTTCTTTTGAGACAAAAGATGTTAATGTATGTATGAGTTGTTTTCTCTAAACTAAAACCTCAGTATTCAGATTTAATTGTAATTTTGGTATTTTGTGATAAATAAGGGGGTTTTGCCTTACATTTTGGCACTTGATCTCTAAAAAGCTCATCACTGGTCTAGGTCTCAGATCAGGAGCTACCTCTTTCCTGTGCACTTTCATGAGCCATAAACCAGAGGTGAATCATGGCTCATGAAATGTCCTGCTGCTATTTTTCCCTCAACATCTTCTATTTGAGTATCTATTCATGTGTCCACATAAAATACAAACTTACAATAAATCAGATCAGAGCTATGTTCCTGATATTTTCAATAATCACTTATTCTTTCATTTTAAAAATGTTTAAAAAATAGTGAACTGATAACATCTTTTTTTAGTAATATGTAAGTTAGCTGTGTCTTAGAAAGTCCACCTAAGTTGTGGTTCAAATCCTTTATCTTGCACTTTATATTAATTTTGCAAACATGGAATGAACTGAACTCCTCAGTGAACAGATCAGAGAAAAGTGTATCTATGATCACTATCACTTTTATCATTCCTTTCTGGAGGCAGAGTTAATTAAAAAAAATAACTTCCAGAAAATAACAAATAATTCTACTAAGTCAAGTTTGAACAGAGTCTATTATGCTCAGACACACTGCCTTCACTATTTATGGCCTACGTCAAGAATAAGATGTTATAAGACAGCATCTAAAAACACATTAAAAACACATTTAAAGAGGGGAAAACATTTTTTAAAAGACTGAACAGTCTCCTTTTGGTGTCTCTGTTTTGTACTCAAACTACTGCTGTTCCATTGGTGTGCGGCTGAGCATTTTCAAGGTCAGTTTTTAAAATGTGTATGTAGGACTAGCTAAAATACAGAATGGTCTGCTTGGAAAATTTTAAAAATGATTTGCTTGTTAACAACTTCAACCTCCCTAAATTATATAAATCGAGGGACTAAATTTGTGTGGCAGTATTTAATATAATAAAATTACTAGTCTTCCTGTTAAAATAACTGGTTTTGGAGAGTATGCTCCTTTCATAGTTTTGTAGTCTAAAGATCATAGTGAGCAATGGATGTATCTGGTAGCAGGAACATTCATCTTTTTGGTGCAGTGAATTTTATTCTAGAGTCTTAATGTAAAAAGTATAATTTTAGCTTCAAATCAGGTCTTTCTGAAGGAAGACGTTCTTATTAATGTTAAAGGGAGTATTGAGAAATAGCTTTAAGCCTGGATATTCTCTGCTGTCAAGCAATGTACAGACAATAAGGAGAATAGTAATGGTTATCTTAGGGATTTTACATGCTGCTTTCATATGTGGAAATGTGTGAAAAAAATCACTAAATTGAGAAAAGTCTAGATAGCAAAAGATTACAATGTTTTGTTTGGTGGGGGCTGTATAATCATGAGTTCTCTTTTCCTTATCAAATCCCTAATGTGTAGTTACTACACTGAGTCTGAAAATAGTTCCCCTTTGTGCACAAATTCATTAGAAAAGCAAATGATGAATGTAAAGTGGATTTAGAGGGCTAGTCAGTTTTTTTTAAGTTGATGGCCCCTCAATATTTTCTGTATTTTTATTTCTAAGATTCAGATAGTAAATTTTCAATATTTTAGTCTAAAATGAGCTATTTATATCTTGGCATGGAAACTAAATTCCCCATTGCTTAAGATACTCTCAATTTTTACTAGATACAAGTTCCAATTATTATTTGAAGAACTGTAAACCTACAACAAAAAATACTTGTCCTGATTTGAATATTTTCAGTTTATGTATCATGTTATCTTGCCATGATTGATTGTAACAGACAAGTCAATGTTAGCCAATGAAATTATAAGAAAACAAAAAACATGTTAAAAAAAAGTAAAGGTATTATTTTCATTT